CCCTTTGTCAGATGGGTAGATTGTAAAAATTTTTTCCCATTCTGTTGGTTGCTGGTTCACTCTAATGATAGTTTCTTTTGCTGTGCAGAAACTCTTAAGTTTAATTAGATCCCATTTGCCTATTTTGGCTTTTGTTGCTATTACTTTTGGTGTTTTGGTCATGAAGTCCTTGCCTATGCTTATGTCCTGAATGGTATTGCCTAGGTTTTTTTCAAGGGTTTTTATGGTGTTAGGTCTTATGTTTAAGTCTTTAATCCATCTGGAGTTAATTTTAGTGTAAGGTGTAAGGAAGGGGTCCAGTTTCAGCTTTCTGCACATAGGTAGCCAGTTTTCCCAACACCATTTATTAAACAGGGAATATTTTCCCCATTGCTTGTTTTTTTCAGTTTTGTACCCAGAACTTAAATCACAATAAAAAACAAAATAATAAATAGGGCAGGTAAAAAAAAAAAAAAAGACAAAGGTAGGAATTCAGCAAATATGGCATTTACTACTGGTATGGTATTTGCTGTGGTATTTAACACTGCCTTGGATCATGAAATCATGGCTACCATGGCGATCTGCTTTGGATCTCTGTCCCCACCCAAATCTGGATCAGGCATGGTGGGTCACACCTGTAATCTCAGCCCTTTGGGAGGCAGAGGCAGGTGGATCATTAGAGCCCAGAAGTTCCAGAAAAGCCTGGGCAAGCAATGTTGGGAAATGCTGGGAAACCCTGTCTCTACAAACAAACAAACAAAAAACAAAACAAAAGAAAAAAAACCAGGAGTGGTGGTAAGCACCTGTCCTCCCAATTACCAGGGAGGCTGAGGTGGGAGGACTGCTTGAAGCCCAGGAGGTCAGAAGACCCTGTCTCAAAAACAAAAACAAAACAAAATACCCAGTGCTGGAGGGGTCTTTGTGGGAGGTGACCGGATCAGGAGGCAGCTTCTGATGCTTTGGCGCTGTTCCTCTCGTGCTGTTCTTATGCTCGGGTTCTCATGAGAGCTGGGGTAGCACCTCTCGCCTCTCTCTCCTCCTTCTCCCACTGTGTGAAATGTACTTGCTTCACCTCTGCCTTCCACCATGACTGGACGTTTCCTGAGGCCTCCCTAGAAGCAGAAGCCACTATGCTTCCTGTACCACCTGCAGAACCGTGAGCCAATTAAACCTCTTTACTTTAGAAATCAAAAAAAAAAAAAAAAAGAATGCATAAAGATCAGGAATTTTTTTTTTTTGAGATGGAGTCTCGCTCGGTCACCAGGCTGGAGTGCAGTGGCTCAGCTCACTGCAACCTCCACCTCCCAGGTTCAAGCAATGCTCGTGCCTCAGCCTCCCAAGTAGCTGGGATTACAGGCATGCACCACCACACCAGGCTAATTTTTATATTTTTAGTAGAGATGGGGCTTCACCATACTGGCCAGGATGGTCTCAACTTCTTGACTTTGTGATCCACCAGCCTCAGCCTCCCAAAGTGCTGGGATTACAGGCGTGAGCCACCACACCTGGCCAGAAAAATATTTTTTAAAGAACAAAATGCCCTTTTACAGTATTATCTATTACAAGTGCAAGTTAATCTTAAAATTCAATTCAACATATCTAGGTAAAAATGGGAGTGCCTCAGATAAATACTGCTGTCTTTTTACACATGACCATGTTTATTAAGGATGCACATATACAAAGCTAGATTTGACCTTCATTTACAGCAGAACAATTTAATACTGGGAAGTAGATATTCCAGAAGTGACCCAACTTGTAAGACTCCAGTGAGAAACCCTCATGACTGGGCCCAGACTCCAGAGCCAACCTGCCTGACACTGTCTGCAGCTCCGCCACCCACAGTCCACCGGCTGTGTGACTTTGGGCAAGGCTCCTGTGCATTGTTTCCACGTCTGTGAACATGCAGGAAGGGCCTGGCCCCCTGCAAGCAGTAGATGGTGCCAGCTATTAAGATCACGTTTGGCGGCGGCCCCGTGAAAGGCGTTCCTGCCACACGGTTCTGACGCGCCCTCACGCTCTCTCCCCTCCACCACATGCTCCTCTCATCATCTATCCCCTTTTCTGTTTCAGTGAATCTTCTTTCCCTCTCTTGGGACACTTCAGGCTCATCTACAAGTCACAAACACCAGAGGCCTGGGAGGGGCCCATCCTTCCAAAGGACTTCTGACACCTGAGCAAATGAAGAGTCTCACAAATTGGTTCCTTTGAAACCAATTGCCAGTGAAAATCCTGATGCCTCAGAAACTAATTCCTTTCACCGTCAAGCAAACTAAAGGTTTTTGCTATATTTGTGTATTCAAGGAACAGCTTGAAGCAGACACCCCCAGCACCACAACGAAAATCATGGTCAGTCTGAGCTCTCTTTGAGTGTTAAAGGAATATTACCAATATTCCCCACTGGTCCCCACCCAGCTGGACGGGCCATTCCTGCCAGTGCCCAGGTGCACACTGCATGCTTCTCACACTCTGGATTCATTCTTCACCACCACTAGATCGTGGCACCTGAGGGCTGGAAAGGATTTCACAAGTCATCTACATCGAAGGTCACAGATCCAGATTCCCAGAGGCCCAGTCAGGTCATGAGTCACAAAGGGACCGGAGCCAGCTGGGGACTGTGTGTCCCATGTGAAGGAAGAGCTGCCCCCTGGCTCCGGCTCTCACCGCAGGCCTAGGACAGCCAGACGAGTGGTTAAGAGGAACTGAAAATTCAGACTTTATGTGTGGACCAAGCAAAACACATTCCAGAGATGGCCCAAGTGCTTCCAGGTCACACATTCCAATCCAGACAGAGCAGCGGTTCCCACCCGCAAGCCTCAGACCCTGGAGATGTAAAGAGCTGCTACCCTGTGGCCACTGAATCCAGCGCTGGAAGAGAGACCAGGGCTCCCAACAGAGTCACCTGTGGACTCCAGAGACGGTGGCGGGAAGACAGACAAGGGCTCCAGACAGACATCACCTGTGGACTGCAGAGACGGTGTGCCTTGCTCTTATAAGCACTTTTTTTTAACATAAAAGGACACTATAATGTTAACAAAACCAAATTTTATTTCCAAACAGCTCTAAGCTGATGATTTTTCATTTCACATTTTCTTAAATGAGGAGATCCCAAAAGCACCATGACAGTCACGCAGGGTGCACAGATTTTATCTGATTAGAAAGGGGACTCCGGGCTTGAACCCTCACCACCACCCAGACCCATTCTGCCACTTGAATGGTGAGACTGCGAGGTGGTGTGACTTGCCCGTAGTCACACGGCTCCTCGAAGAACCAGGAGGGAAAGCCAGGCTCCGAGCCCTGTTCCCAGCTCCTTCACCTCCACCCGGGAGCAGGGACCCCGCCCAGGAGAGACGTGCGAGAAGAGGCACCGCGTGGTGGGAACTCTGAGCAAACATGATCGTAACACGTTCTGGGCTGAGGCCTCCACACTCACCTCTTCAAAGTTCCACGGAAGGACAGAATTAGGAGCCTGGACAGCGCTACACGCCCGCCCCCTCAGCTGTGTCTCACAGGAGTGCCTTCCAGCCGCCGGCAGATGCGGACCTTGTCACCTTACAATGCTGGGTGACAACGCAGCTTGAGAACTAAAATTCTGCTCTCCTGTGCTTGCCGCTCCCTCCCCCACTTCTCCAGCCGCTTCTTCCTCCCCACGCCCAAGGCAGTCTCCGAACATCCCTTTCATAACCTCGTCCTCCCATCTGCCCCACTTCCACAGCTGGCTGGCTCCATTATGAACAAGAGGCTGAATGAATTCACTTTTGATTCTTGCTGTCGGTCTACAGGTGTTAGTTAAGAAGGACTGGCTTAAGATGCCAGCAGAGATTAAACACATGAGGGTAAGTCAAGACCAGGTCCTGGGAAGCCAGAGCAGGTGTGGGAAAGAGGCGCATGTGTTCCACTCATGAGGGTGAGTCAAGACCAGGTCCTGGGAAGCCAGAGTAGGCGTGGGGAAGCGGGGCATGCGTTCCACTCAGGGCATCTGCGGCGACCGGGGCGGACGGTGCCAAACACAGATGTGTAAGCTGTGCACTGCTCAATTCCAAGGGCACCACTCAAAAAGACGAGTGACGAGTAGTGCCCTCCGGAGCTGTGCAGGCAGCACAGGGAGGGGCCGGCGGGAACGCAGGTCTGGCCGTGAAAAGATCCAGCCCGTCTCTCGGTGCTTCTGTTAGTTAATCGTGACGGCCCCATGGAGTTTCTCCGACTTGCATGTGCTGCAGAGCCTCCTGGCAGCTTACCAAACCCAAGGACTGCCCAGCCCTCCCCTGAAACTCTGATTCCTCAGCTCTAGGGAGGGACTGAGGCATCTGTGTGTTTCGTTTGTTTGTTTGTTCGATATAGAATCTCACTCTGTCGCCCAGGCTGGAGTGCAGTGGCACGATTTCGGCTCATTGCAACCTCCCAGTTCAAGCAATTCTCCCACTTCAGCTTCCTGAGTAGCTGGGATTGCAGGCGCCCACCATCACACCCGGCTAATTTTTGCATTTTTAGTAGAGACAGGGTTTCACCATGTTGGCCAGGCTGGTCTCGAACTCCCGACCTCAGGTGATCTGCCCACCTTGGCCTCCCAAAGTGCTGAGATTACAGGTGTGAGCCACCGCGCCTGACCCTGTGTGTTGTTTTTTAACAACCAGCCTCTTGAGAAACTCTAAACAACAAAGTTGAGGCTTCTGAGAAGAAAGACACTGCCAGTGCCAAGACTGTGTTACCAAGGGGGATGTTTATACTTTTACGAAATTTAGTCCTTTGAGCTCAGCCCTTTTTATAAAGAATACTATTTCTAAAGACGGTTGATGATGGCACACACATACAATCCATGACGCAACTGCCTCTATAAACCCGACCCTGGCTGCTCCTTGTCACGGTTTTTAAGCGCATTCAGACAGACACCGCAGACACTGCAATGACGTTACTATTCTGACGGCTTGTGAAATTTATGGCCACCGTGTGCCAAATCACAGGAGACCCACATTCCACAGCTCCTCCCTCCAGCATGGCCACATGGCACACACTCGGACACATACCTTGTGCTCCTCCTTCATCACCTGCTCGATGAGTTCGGATTTCACCGGAGGCTTGGAATACTGGCCTGAGAGAAGGCCATGTCCTAACTTAGTCCTGGCCAGGGCACAGAAACAAAACAAAAAGGTCGTTGTTGTTCTTCCAGAGCGATATTAAATGTATCGATGAATTTCAGCAAGTACAGCTGCTGTCAGGTGGAGCATTAGATCTGATTACACACAAATAACTTATTTATTTGATTCTGCTTCATACTGCTGCCAGTTTCAAATTTTCTTCAATACTTTGTAGATCATTTTATCTTCTTGGAAAAGTAACACATTCTCATTTTAGAATGCTTTTTAAAAAATACATAAAGAATTCCCTTTAATTTTGCAACCCAGAGATAACCACTGTGAACATTTTATTGGATGCTTTTTCAAAAAAAAAAAAAACAATACAAATCCGGCACTTACATCTGTGTGTTGAAATCCTGCGTTGGATCCAAAGGTGAGTAGTCAAATATTCTGGGGAGGTTTCCTACATACCTAGAAATGAGAGGCAATAGTTACACCACAGCAACTGTGAGAAGAACAGGACCAAAACAAGCCATCATTCTTCCTAAGACCACCTTGCCCCATGGTCAGATTAAACAATCTACCTGAAGAAAAGTTTTTCCTGAGATCCCGCGTCTACCGCCACCCATGAAGCTTCCTGAAACGTTTTCGCTTCTGTCAGTGGGTCTCAGCCCTTGCTATAAGTTAGATTCACCCAAAGAGTTTATTTTAAATATACCAAAGCCAGAACAACCCCTAGATGTTCCAATTTCATTGCTTAAGAGCGAGGCCTGGGATTTGGGATTTCTTTTAAAAGTTCCCTGAGTGACTCTAGCATGCAGTCAGGGTGAAGAACCACTGGCTTAGCCATCACAATCACCGCCTCAGTGACAACGGTGCAGGGCCAGGTGCGGTGGCTCACACCTGGCATCCCCGCACTTTGGGAGGCTGACACAGGAGGATCACCTGAGGTCAGGAGTTCGAGACCAGCCTGGCCAACATGGAAAAACCCCATCTCTAATAAAAAATACAAAAATTAGCCAGGCATGGTGGCACATGCCTATAATCCCAGCTACTCGGGAGGCTGAGGCAGGAGAGTCACTTGAAGCCTGGAGTTGGAGGTTGCAGTGAGCAGAGATGGCGCCCTGAGCTCCAGCCTGGGTGAGAGAGCAAGACTGTCAAAAAAAAAACAACGACAACAGTGCAGTTAGCGACAAGACCTGACTCAAACCGAAACGCGGGCCAGCTCCTCCGAGCCCTCTGCCTGACCCCCCTTTCCTTGGGCTTCCCCGTCTGTCCTGGTAGATGAGTCTGAGTAAGCACTCTGCTAAGTCAGGTTAGTGAACATCGCCCATGCTTGCTATCCGACCAGCCCGGCCTGCCTTCAGCAATCACCCCACCAAGTCTGAGGAGCCAGAAACCCCTTATCCTAGATTTTCTTCTTCGCGATTTTCTGTCCCCTGCCCCACCCAACTCCTTGGTTACAAATTCCCACTCGACCGTGTTGGAATCAGAGTTGAGTCCAACGTCTCCCCCAGTCCAAGGCCCTGCTGCTGTGTTCCTATTCCTATGGCCATGGGTCCCACTGCAGAAAGTCTGCCTTAGCATCTTTAACAAGTGCTTGGGTAATTCTTTTCTTTAACATTAAAAATTGTTCCAATAATCTCAACGTGGATAGTAACAGTCATAGCAGCGACAGCTGCCATGTCCTGACGGGTGTCCTGAATTAGCCTGTTGAGACTTCATTGCAACCACGTGAGGAAGGATTGTTGTTATCATTATTCCCATTTGAGACGTGAGAAATTGGAATGCAAATTCGTCAGGCAGCTTCCAAAGCCTCCAAGGCACCTGAAACCCCAGCACTTTTAGAGGCCGAGGTGGGATGATTGCCTGAACCTCAGAGTTGACAGCAGCCTGGCCAACATAGAGACTCCATCTCTACAAAAAACCTAAAATCAGCTGGTGCAGTAGGAGGTACTGTAGGACCGTAGCTGCAGCTACCTGAGAGGCCAGGGTGGGAGGACTGCGTGAGCCCCGGAGGTCAAGGCTGCAGTGAGCCCTGATCGTACCACCACACTCCAGCCTGGGGTGACAGGGCAAGACCCTGTCTCAAAAAAAAAAGGCTACCAGGGAGGGAGTAATGAGGCCCAGAATGGACCCAAGCAGCCTGGCACCGGGCCGCGCTCGGAACCGCTCTGCTGGCTGTGCCCGCTGTCCACGGCCCCCAGAGCAGCCTGCAATCCCTCCTGGCAAGCTCGTCCTGGCAGAGCAGTGCCAGCTCTGACACTGACCTCCAATCGCCACACACAGTCACTCCGTTCCCTTCTTCAATTCACTTCTGATTTCACACCCTCTACTCTGTGTGGTTCTTTCCCCGCTGTCTTCGACCTCTAGCCTGGACGCTGTAGGAAGAGGAATCTGAAAGCAGACCCCTTTCTCCAGCCTTCATTGCCCCCTCCCCCAACTTCTCTGGCCTCCTCTGCCACTGTGTTCCCCCAGCCCACAGCATCCCGCCACCTGTCCCTCCTGCTGCCCCAGCGCGTGACAAACTTGCTCGTGTCTCAAGATCATGCCTTCTGCGGTCTCTCTCCTGGGATGCTGTCTCAGAGATCCTTGCTCAGCAGCTCCTTCTCAAGTCTGTTGACAAGCCACCTCCCCAGACCCTTACATAAAACAAGAGGGGCCGCGCTCACCCACCTGACTCCCTACCGTCTGCTCCTGACTGGCTCCCTTCTTAGCACGCATCGCTACCTGCAGTTTTATCATCTACTCGTGGGACCGTGTGGCTGCATCTCCACCCAAATCTCATCTTGAATTGTAGCTCCTCTGATTCTCACGGGCGGTGGGAGGGACCCGGCGGGAGGTAAGTGAATCATGGGGGCAGGTCTTCCCCATGCTGTTCTCGTGACAGTGAGTAACTCTCACGAGATCTGACAGTTTATAACGGGGAGTTCCCCTGCACAAGCGCTTGCCTGCCACCATGCAAGGTGTGACTTTGCTCCTCATCTGCCCTCTGCCATGACTGTGAGGCTTCCCCATCCACGTGGAACTGTGGGTCAATTAAACCTCTTTCCTTTATAAATTAACAGTCTTGAGTACGTCTTTATTAGTAGTGTGAGAATGGATGGATACATCTTGTTTAGTATCTGTCTTTCCAGAGATTATACACTAGAATGTAATCTCATGAAGGCAGCAACTTCATCTACATCACTGCATCTCCAGCACTAGAACAGCATCTGACATGTAAAAGACACTCTAAATATTTGTTGAATGAATACGTTTATGTCACACAATCACACAACTAACTTCCATAACTGAATATTGACAACCAAACAGAAAAAGCATTATTGCAGTGAAGCCCCGGCAAAGAACCATGACACACTATTAGTTGGCAATGACCTCTAACTACTAGAAACTTCCAGGCACCTGCTGTCCACGAACTCAGAAGTTGTAGCTCAGATAATGTACCTACATCAAAATTAACAGAGCACGCTTCTCAGGACCAGTCCCATTCAAAGGACAAACACAACAGAAGCCAAACTTCAGAGCTAAACTATTTAGATGCGGGGCTACACTGCAGAATCCCAACAATGCACGACACAATGAACTCGGGCACTCTCTTCTGGTCCAGTTTTAGTCACATCTCAAAACCTGACAAGACAAAAACCTCCCTGGAAAGGTGCACACTAATGAACAGGCTGATGCTTTAAGGCAAGACAGAAAGAAGAGAAGAGGTAAAGAGAATAAACCTTTTTTTTTTTTTTTTTTTTGAGACACCGTCTCACTCCCTCACCCAGGCTGGAGTGCAGTGGCATAATCTTGGCTCACTGCAACCTGCGCCTCCCGAGTTCAAGCAATTCTCTCGCCTCAGCCTCCCGAGTAGCTGGGAATACAGGCGCCTGCCACCACGCCCCGCTAATTTTTTAGTAGAGACGGGGTTTCACGATGTTGGCCAGGCTGGTCTTGAACTCCTGACCTCAAGTGATCCACCCACCTCAGCCTCCCAAAGTGCTGGGATTAGAGGCGTGAGCCGCCATGCCTGGCCGACAATTAATCTTTGATGTCAGAAAAGTCCACTTTGCTGGCACCTGAGGTCAGGGAGAAAAAGAGAGAAGTCCATTTTGCTATCACTATATATCCCTTTTCTAACTGATGAAGAAAATCTTCCATTATAACAAAATTAAATTAAAATGCAGAAGCCATGCTAGATAATTTTCATAGATGTTATACCTTCTGTCTGTAATCTAGCAGTTCTTAAAAGGATGTCATTACGCTATCTAGTAATCCATCTTAGTTGTAAGTCCATCGGTACACCAGTTTACTTAGATTCGATCCTCAATGAAAAGGATTCTGAAAAGTAAACTAGGTTCAAGCGGCAGGCAGGGCACTGAGGATCGGGCCGAGTTCCCAGTAACACTACGACTGTGCATGAGCCACTCAATCTTTCTGAGTCATTTTTCTTTTCTTTCCTTTCCTTTTTATTTTTCTTTAATTTTCTTCTTCCTATTTATTTATTTCCTGAAATAGAATCTCACTCTATCACCCGGGCTGGAGTACAGTGGCGTGATCTCAGCTCACTGCAACCTCTGCCTTCAAGCAATTCTCCTGCCTCAGCCTCCTGAGTAACTGGGATTACAAGCGCCCACCACCACACCTGGTTAATTTTTGTATTTTCAGTTGAGATGGGGTTTCATCATGTTAGTCAGTCTGGTCTTGAACTCCTGACTTCAGGTGATCCACCCACCTTGGCCTCCCAAAGTGCTGGGATGACAGGTGTGAGCCACCACACCCAGCCAACATATATTTTTCATTAAAGAAAAACCCAGAGAGTTAACTCTTCGTCGAACTTTGAAGTGTAGGGTGAATTTTTTTTAACTGCAGGTTGTAAAGCACTAAGAGTGGTGTCGGGCTTCATAACAAAAGAACACAAGTTTCTTTCATTCTAGTTTAAAAGAAACAATAATTACGCTACTGCTACCAGAGGACGGTCCTTCAACAGTTTCAAAAAGGATCTTGGAGCATAAATCACGTGAGATGGAGCTACGGTGCTCCCCGTGAAAAGATAACACAGGTGTGGCGCGTGGGTAAAAATTCATACAAATCATAGGGTTTCCTTTCTGAGCTTCCACCTCGCCCTGGCCAAAGCCAGCGCCTGCACTCCTGCACACGCATCAGGGCGCTCTCCCTGCTTCACGGCTCGTCTGACAGCCTCCCTCCTTTCTCCTTGGTGGAATGTGCCTCGTTTGGAAGCCTGCAGTTGTTCCGATGACTCTTTTCTTGATGCCGTTTGTCCTCTTCCTTCCTGCCTGGGGATGAGGACCACGTCCTTCTGTTCACCACCCACCCCACACACTTGGCACACTGCTTAGCAGAAAAGAACTCACTCTCTATTGGCTGGATGAAAAAATGAAAGCTAGACATGGAAAATGAACCATGAATTTTCAAAGCAAGAAAACAGCACGAAGAGGTAAAAGTCTCCAAACACCAAGAGAGGAAAGAGAAGGGTGTGTGACATACTTTGGATCAGCCTCCACTAAAGCCATGAGGATTTCAACTCCACGCAGGTGAAGCAAGAGCCTGGACTTTCCTGAATGCTGCCTGCCTGTCTGAGCTCACACTTAAACCACGAAGGAAACCTACCTCTGGGACACGCTCGGGTGACTCTGCCCTGAGGCACTGGCTGCCCGACACCAGGCCCAGCCCCCGGCTCTACAGCCCCCACCCTCAGCACAACCCGAGGGAGAAAACAGCCAGCCACAGACAGGCTGCTGAGCCCCTCGGCGTGGGAAGGGAAGGCGGTCTTCCACGGACACAGTCAGCGCGCGCCTAAATCAGCACTCCCACATGACTGTGGTCAAGGGTCAGCTGTTTTGTTTATTTCAACTCAGACAGAGGATACCTTTTAAAAACACAGTTAGTGAGGACAGTTAATGGGGACAAAAGTATAATTAGAGTTAACAAGATCTAGTATTTGACGGCACAACAGGATGACTGTAGTCAACAATAATTTGTTGTGTATTTTAAAATAACTAAAAGTGAAATTGGAATGTTCCTAATACAAAGAAATGATAAATGCTTGAGGTGACGGACACCCCAATTACCCCAATTGATGTGATATGACACACTGTATACCTGCCTCATAATATCATATATACCCTATAAATATATACACCTGCTATGTACCCATAATAATTAAAAATAACCTGGCCGGATGTGATGGCTCCTGCCTATAATCACAGCACTTTGGGAGGCCAAGGAGGGTGGATCATGAGGTCAAGAGACAGAGATCATCCTGGCCAACATGGCGAAACCCCGTCTCTACTAAAAAAAATACAAAAATTAGCCGGGCATGGTGGCGCCCACCCGTAGTCCCAGCTACTCCAGAGGCTGAAGCAGGAGAATCACTTGAACCTGGGAGGCGGAGGCTGCAGTGAGCTGAGATGGCGCCACGGCACTCCAGCCTAGTGACAGAGCAAGACTCTGTCTCAAAAAAAAAATAAAAAATAAAAAAACTTAATAGTTAAAAAATACAATTAAAAGAAATTATTACAAACGTGAAATGCCAATTGTAAGACACAACAGCAATGTCATTGTCACGACGGTTTCCCACGCTCACTCCCTATTTCATGGCAGCACAAGGCCCAGCACCAGCCGAGCCACACTTTAAGGAGCCAGCAGTGGAAGTCCTGACCCCTGAGGACACGGCAGCCCACCACGAGAGAGGCACTAACCAGCCCAGTCACGGATCGCCCCAGCACATCTGCAGGAGGGAACTGGCAGATGTGCTATGAAGATTAACGGCTAATACATTCTTGGTACGTAGGGCGATGGTCAAAAAGCAGAAACTGTTATTAATCACAAAGCCCTGGACGGTGTTTTTCAGTTCATGAAGCTCTTCTTGTCTCACCTGATCCCCATAACACTCGACAAGTGTTCTCACCCAGTCTCTGTGGAAGGTGGGCCTCAGGAAAGGTGGCAAAAGGTCCTGAAGCCATAAAGATGGGCTTTCCAGTGTCCTGAGCGGGCTGGACCTAGAGGGGCAGGGTAGGGCTGCAGGGCCGGGGCTGCATGGGGGGCACTTACGCCCTCTGGAACTGCAGGATGCCGGCTGGACCTAGAGGGGCAGGGCAGGGCTGCAGGGCTGGGGCTGCATGGGGGGCACTTACGCCCTCTGGAACTCCAGGATGCTGGCTGGACCTAAAGGGGCAGGGCAGGGCTGCATGCCCGGGTCTGTGTGGGGGCACTTACGCCCTCTGGAACTCCGGGATGCTGGCTGGATCTAGAGGGGCAGGGTGGGGCTGCATGGGGGGCACTTATGCCCTCTGGAACTCCAGGATGCTGGCTGGACTTAAAGGGGCAGGGCAGGGCTGCATGCCCGGGTCTGTGTGGGGGCACTTACGCCCTCTGGAACTCTGGGATGCTGGCTGGACCTGGACGGGCAGGGCGGGGCTATATGCCCGGGTCTGCATGGGGGATGCTTATACTCTCTGGAACTCCAGGATGCTGGCTGGACCTAGACGGGCAGGGCGGGGCTGCGTGCCCGGGTCTGCGTGGGGACACTTACGCTCTCTGGAACTCCGGGATGCTGAAGATGGCCTGCATGACGGAGCTCAGGTAGCAGCTGTTGCCCAGGTTCTTCAGCCCCGTGTAGCCGGGGCCGTACATCGGCTTCAGCTTCGTGCCTGACTCCTGGATCACCTCCCACTCACTGACCCTCGGCTTGATCTCATTGTCCTGGAGCCTGTTCTCTGCCTGAGACAAAGTCATCAGCAAGAAACAACCTTCAAAGTGATTCCCATGCAAAGGTCATGTCCCATTAATTATTTCTAATATCATAGGATGTTTCTGCCATTATTTCCTATTACATAGAGAAATAAACAATGTAAATAAAAAAGGCTGAGAGACGGTGATGGCACAACAGTGAATGTACGTCATGCCAGGAACGCCATGGTTAGAAACGGTTAAAACGGCAGGCTTCAGATTATATATATTTTACCACAATTTTAAAACACACATGAAAGAGATTTTAAAGAGAGGCTGGGTGCAGTGGCTCATACCTGTAATCCCAGCACTTTGGGAGGCCGAGGCAGGCAGATCACCTGAGGTCAAGAGTTCGAGACCAGCCTGGCCAACATGGAGAAACCCTGTCTCTACTAAAAATGCAAAAATTAGCTGGGCGTGGTGGAAGGCGCCTGAAGTCCCAGCTACTCGAGAGACTGAGGCAGGAGAATCGCTTGAACCCAGGAGGCGGAGGTTGCAGTGAGCTGAAATTGTGCCACTGCACTGCAGCCTGGGTGACAAGAATGAAAGTCCATCTCAAAAAAAAAACAACCAGATTTTAAAGAGAGAAAGACTGAAAGGGAAAGAGATAAGAGGAGGATGAAGAACAAATAGGAATCAAAAAAGAAGCAATTCAAGGAGTATTCAATGCAACACAGCAAAGGAAAAGGCCAGGCAGCCGGAGAGGATATGGAATAAACCCCGAGACTTGAGACGAGCGCCTTCAAAGAGGAGGGAGTGTGAGGAAGGCAGAGAAAAGCAGAAATGAGTGACAAAGTGGAGACAAAGACGGCAGCAAGGTGAAGAGACGGGGGCAGCCTGGAAGGAGAGGGCTACACGAATGCACGTTTAAATCTTTAAGGGGAAAACGATTCCCCAGTCACGACATCTACTGGAAAACGCAACGTGAAAGGAAGGAGCGCGTCTCCACCAACGGTCATGTGCTGGCTTATTCACTGTCCCTAGGAGCCTTGCTTCCCTTCCTGAAATTAATTAAAGTGATGTTGGTCACAGATAATTTTAAAGGTCACCTCCCCACACCATCTGCCTTTCGTGAACAATGAATGATTCACGCAACTACCCATCAAAGGAGGCTGATTTTGCAAGTCAACTCCAACTCAACCAAAAGAAAACACCTCTTCATTAGACGCAAGAAGGAAATGCAACAATTGAAAGCTACAACCTATAAAGTGAAGACCCCTGTTAGAGGAATTATATGGGAAATAAACCAAGCAGCTCCCGTGTCCTTCCCCATCCCCGCCCCATGCACGGTGGAAATGGAAACAGGAGGCCTCACCCCATGCATGTGAAGCATGTCGATTCCAAAATGCGCCAAGTGCTTGGCCAGATGAGGGTCCAAAACAGGCTCTTCTTCTTGAAAAGAATAAACATCTAGCGGACAAAGGGAAAAGGAGCAGTGGTCAGTCGTCAAGTCACTGAATAGCCAACAGGGATTCTGAGCTCCCACTGTCCACCAGCTTTGGGCCACGTCACTGAACAAAATGAAACCCTTCTGACATGCAACAAGGGGAAAGATAAATGATAATAAATAATACGGAGGCATTTTTTGTAAATATACCTACATATCAGTTCTTTTGACATTTTGGAAAGCTTTTTTTTTAAGTTTCTGAAACAAGAAAAGAGAAAAAAAAAAACAAAGAACAGCATCTAAAGTTAAAGGTATGTAAACATAAATGCCGACCACTCACGTTTCTAAGCAGAACCACAGGGGCATAACTCTGAGCTCAAAAAGAGGGCTGGGTGCCGGAGGAGGGAGTCACGGCCATCCACCAACGGCAGGGGAACCTCGGGGGGACAAAGAGGACACACAGGCCCTCGGGCAGCTTGCTCCATCCAAGACAAAACAAAATCCTGCCCGTGAACCCCAGGTCCTCAAACCTCCCCTCACGCCTCCACCTCCCCCTGCCCCCGCATCCCTTCCTCCTACCTTCCTGTCCACAGAGCCAGCGAGAGGTCTGTGAGCACTGTGGCACCTCCTGAGTGGGTTCGCCTCATAGCACACATAGAAAATGACCGCACTGGGTATTCCAGGGATACTGAGGACTCAGCCGTCCCTGCCGGCCCTGCTGCCCCAGGGGTCCACATCCCAGCAGGCTGAGAGACACCAGTGTTGGTAAGCTCTGTGCTGAGGCGGGCGGCCTCTTTCCCAGGACACTAATATCCCACCTGACAAGGAGGCTTCTGACTGAACCTGTCTTCTCAAAGTGGGGGGTATGGACTCAAAGCAGCAGCCTCACCTGGGAGCTCACTGGAAATGCAGAATCTTGGGCCCCACCCAAGGCCTACTGAATGAGAATCTGCATTTTTAACAAGATCCTTGGGTGCACAGTGAGGTTGGAGGACTGTTTGGTTTTCCAAAACTATCCAGTGTGCTGCCCTATCCATCCTCACACACAGTGTGGCAACAACGACAGAACAGGCATTTCCAAGCCTGTCTTCAGATAAGGAAAAGAGGCTCCTAGAGGGCAGGTGATTTTTGCCTTAAATCCCACAGCTGGCCCAGAACCCAGCTAGTCTGACTCCTGGCCCAATCTTCTTCCCTCTACAGCAGAATATTTATATCTGTGCAGTACACAGTATATCAGAACACCAGGCGGGTGCAGTGGCTCACATCTGTAATCCCAGCACTTTGGAAGGCCAAAGCAGAAGGACCACTGGAGGCCACAGTGAACTGTGATGATGCCACTGCACTCTAGCCTGGGGGACAGAGAGGGACCCTGTCTCTAAAAAAACAGGGGGAAAAAAAGAGTGTTTCTAAAGAAGGAAAAAAAGAAAAAATATATGGATGTATCAGAACAGGACACCAACAGACTTGGTGAAGAAGCCCCCGAGGCCCTTAAAAGGAATGAAGCCTCAACACCCACGGTTTCTTCACTCTCAGATTTGAAAACCAAAATCTCTAACAAGGAAAATGGATCTGAAGATAACATTCTTCGGAACAATGTAAGACAGACTGTCCAAAGAGTTCCCCACGCCTTGGAACATCACCCGGGGAAGAAAAGTAAGGCACAGAAGCTGTGCTGACCTTCTGTCCCACACCCAGATACATGGAGACTCACTGCTCCCGAAAGACATTCGGTCTTTCTATTATTACTAAGTGAAACATTGCATAGCTTTCTTCTCTACTCCTCTCCCCCGGGGGGCCCATTATAACTGTGGATAGCAGCCCTCATTTATACTTTTTAAATATAATTCGGTGTTCCCAAAAGCAAAACAAAAGACAAAATCTCAGCCCAATTAAGAAGAAAATTTCCAAAAAATTGAATATTACTAAAACAAGCAAAAACCTTTGAACTAGTAACTTGAAACAAATACATCAACAGTATTTTTAATCTATGACAGGGGACCAAAAAGTTCCACTCAAATACTAGCTGGAAGGTGCAAATGGCACTCCTGGACACTTTACTTTAGGGAGAGAGTTTGAAGACTTAAGTCTTTGAGCCCCTAACCACCAGGGCTGTATTAGAAAATAATAAAGCTGTGGTAAGTGGACCAGTGGCATTGGCCTGGGATTTTGAAATAAGTGAGGACCACACAGCCCTCCACCGTTCATGACGCATCAGGCTCTGGCGACTCTGACAAGATCACATTTCATACCTCCCGTCATTAACTGCTCCAAAGATATGACCTGATCTGGTCAAACGCTATCGCTATTTCTCATCCCACAGATAAAAACAGTTTAGTGAGTAACATACAAGAAACCTGAAAATGAACTGTGACCGTCAAACTTGGTGATCATGAAGCATTCATAAACGTGTAGAGAAAGAAGTCCCCAGTGGCTTCCGTGGCTGGATACGCTGCGTTGTATGTTCTTCACCGGGAAGCTCATTTGATTCCCAACCTCACCTCAGCAAAGGCAGGTCTTAGCGCAGAAACTACGGCAGTAACCGGGCAACCGCTGACAGGAATTACCCTTCGCGTTCCCCAACTTGGCCTAAACCTTGAAGCCAAGACCATGGCCGGGAAGTTCACAGAGGGATCCTCCCAGGAACAGCCCAAGCAGCGTCTCGTGAGTAACTGCGTTCATTTTAGACGTAAGCCTGTCATCGTTTCGTTTCAAGTTAAGTGACACGCTAAACCAGAAGAGGGTGAGGCAGCGATCCGGCAGCAGAAGAAAAAGGACTTTACAAAAATTTTTTCAACAAGAATATCGCATTTGTGTGATAAGCCTGCTGGAAAACAGCATCTGCAGTAAGCTTAAAGATTAATCAAGGATAAAATAAAAATTAAAAAATTAAAAAAGATTAATTAAGGAAAAGCTTACAGAGCAGAGACAGAAAGAGACGAACCAGGAGCAAGGCTGAGAATCTCTAAGAAACCAGATGAAAGTGACAATAATCATGTGTAATCTCTGAATGGGAAGATTTCTTTTTTTCTCTCTCTTCTGTTTTGTCTAAATGTATTATATTTTGATGGAAAAAAAAGTTTTCTAAGTAACTCCCAGAGATGAACGTGACACTACTGAATGGTACACTGTTAGGACGAGCGTGCCTGGCATGGGTCCTCCTTGCCAACTACCAGGGTTAACTCACGCATTCATCGCGGTCAGCAGCTATTAACTGAATGCCAAATACATACATAGCCTGAGGATATCATGTTAAATAAGTCTCTTCCCTCACAAGTTTAAAGTTTAGTATTTCAAATAGTCTTACAAGACATGCTGGTTTGGTGTGAAGGATCGCATGGTTTAGTCATGTTCCTTAATGCCCTTTCCCAGGCCTCAGAAAATGGCAGGAATCCAGATTCTCCCTCTAGATTCCCCTACAGGAAAGTAGAAGGGAGAGCAGGTAAAGGCGTACTTCACAGTCCTTATGTTAAAACCAGGTGGCTCACATCTGTAATCCCGGCACTTTGGGGGGCCCAGGTGGGTGGATCACCTGAGGTCAGGAGTTCAAGACCAGCCTGACCAATACGGTGAAAGCCCATCTCTACTAAAAATACAAAAATTAGCCGGGTGTGGTGAAACCTGCCTATAATCCCAGCTATTCGGGAGGCTGAGGCAGGATAATCACTTGAACCTGGGAGGCGGAGGAAGCAGTGAGCCGAGATCG